AATTGTTGTATTGTTGATATATTATTATTTTAACTGGTAAGATTTTTAAAGTATGAGAGTGCATTCCGGGCAACTTGAGGTCCCTATTCTCAAAATTTTCTCACCTCAACACCAACCATGTTGGGGCTGAGATGGTGGACTCTTATGCAACCCCCTACTGCCAAATCCTGCATTTTCCCCAGATTTGGAGTTATCAAGCATGACAAGACGTCAAAACCACAATAACATTTTACCTCACTTAATTTCTGTAGCAATCAAAAAGCAGTGGGATGTTGACTACTTGATTGATTGATTGATTGATAGATTTGCTGGTTGGTTCGGTTATAGGTTGGTTGGATAGATGATTGATTAAATAGTGTCTTGGATTGACAAACAAATTGCTTAGGCCTACTACGGTATTCATACAACTTGAACAGTGCCCTCAGATGGAGATTGTGAAATGCATAACTACCTGTGTGGAGTAAAGAAATATTACATATACCGTAAACCACAAAAATGCAAGCAAGCAAGCGGAATTTTAGGACCTGAATTTATTCAATGAAACAATTATCAAATATAAATTTTCTCCTTCAAGGATGAACATAAATATTGTCTGTTAAATTAATAACAATTAACATTTATTACAAAAATAATTAACAATGTATTTTAATTTCTGTATTATTTTTATAAGATAGGAGAGTCCACATGTTAAAATACAGTCTCAAACAAGACGTTTTATATTAGCTGTTTCTTATTAATGGTTTCAACCTTGTTAATATTTTCTTTATAAGGTTGCACAAGGTTGTTGCCACTAACAGATTTCTGAACCTATAAAAACACAAACACAGGTACCATTGGCAATACAGGGTCTCAGCACAACTGCATCCCAAGGCAATTAAACATCCCCACAGTGAAGGAATGAAAGATTGTAAAATAAAATGTACTGTTAGTCATAAAGATATTAGCATGGACCTATCTTATTTAATAGGTCGATGATATTTGCAACTCATCTATATATACTCGTATTGACTAAATCATAAGGCTACCTCATGGATGCTTTTGATTTAACATGATTTTACTTCTAAGATTACCACATATTAGTAGAGTACATGTGAAGTATTTAATTCCAGAAAATAAAACATTGATATAATAAGGGCATAGACATAGATATCTATTTATTCATCCATAATTGGAAATTGTTCTTCTCCACTCTTAAAGAAGAAAGAAAATTACATGATTTATTTGGAAAAAAAGAAACTATCTATTACATTGTTAGGAGGCAAATTCCAGAATTGCGAAATTAGGAATTTAGGAGTCTTCCAATGCGAAGTGCGATGCGATCTCTGTTTATTCATATAATAAATAACTGCTAATTGCAGTTTATATATAAAATCACTTTATTGCATAAAAACAATACAGGAAACAAATAAAGAGCCCAGAACAGTGTCCCAAAACTGGGAGCACACAAGGCTAAATGAGTTGACATACAAAAACATTAAGACACAAAATATACCAATAAATAAAAGTATAAAAATAGAGGCCGGCCTATCATCAAATTAAGGGAGACTGCATTCAATTGAATTGTCAGTTCAAAAAGAGGCGGATTAACCCAAGAGGGTTGATCTTTGGCATAGTATATAGTAAAAGAGGAAACAATTGCAATTTTGGAAATATCGTCTCGAAGTTGTTTAAATAAAATTGAATTATTGCACAATTTGAGGATTTTCTTTAAACGTTTAATATTATCAGGGGAAATGCATCCTCTGGAGCCTACTTCGAAACAGACGAGTTCAACCTCGAAGCCAGCATCTATAATATCAGAAATTAGTGGTGCATTTTTGTTACATTTTCTGGAGTGGGCGGCATCGATGCCAGTTTCGAAAGGGACGGTAAGTTAAAAAATGAGGAGCTTCTTTAGGTTTTTCCAATCAAACTTGATTAACAATTTAGCTATCAGCAAAAAAAAAATAATTAAATAGGCCTGGCAGACGGATAAAATGTCTTATAAACCATATTTATAATAAGTGTATAAAGTTTAATTAATATAATAATATGTATACCTAAATGAGATAAATAAATCAATAATATTCTATATACATTGATGATAAATGATTGGATGAATAGATCATGGAGGAATAAAATAGTGTATGGATGGATGAATGGACTGGTAGATTTATCGAATGATTGTCATTTGAAAGACCATAGCTATACAGGTAATAATGTCCATGGTAGTAGGAACATTATGCCAGACTGGAATAATAATAATAAATAATAATAAGTGGGATTTGTAAAGCGCATAATACATAGGTCTCTATGCACTGGAAATTTGCAAATTAAAGTAAACTAAAAAGACGAGTCTTAAGACGATTCTCAAACATCTCAACTGAGGGAATATCGAAATATGGGGATAGTTTGTTAGAAGAAAAGTCTATATGTTAATGTGACATTATTAGCAAAAAACTGATGGAAAGTGATCAATTATACTTCATGTTGTAATACTTGCTGATGCAATGCTTAATGTAAATAGGCCACAATGGAGCATACGACAATTAACAAAACATCAGCATAGCAATATAAGTTTACGATTCCTCAACGAGCACACGTCACAGCTTGATGACTGTCTCTTATACACATCTAGATGTGTATAAGAGACAGGTCACAAAGTGCGTCATTCTTACATTCACATCTGAGGGCGCAATCTTGTCCGTAATAACCGTTGCTACATGTATTATTACAAGATTCACCTAAAAAGATACATTAGTTACTGTTGTTGTGAGTTATACAATGGAGTACACTTTATAATCTGTTTGACTTTGTAAGAAAAAGGCTGAGAAAAGAATTCACAAAATAAAAATACAGATACCAAAGTTAATTTTACAATTTTTAAAAAGTTATATTTGAAATTTATCATGAAACAAAGTAGTTTGTCTTAGTTCACAATAAAACAAAGAACTGGGATGAAAAAATGTAAAAAGGAGTAACACCAAACATCTGCAGCACTACAAATACAATGATTAAGGTCACTTTGGTTGACCTATCCAGATCTTATTATATTTGTAACAATAGGAGACTAAATGGATATAGTAAATTAAATTATTCCTAGAAGGCAACGCATATTCTTTAAAGTATAACCGCATGGCATTGAGTTTATGGTTAGATGGTTGCTTGACAAAGAAGAAATCATTTTCAGTTTCAAGAAGTAATTTCATTTTTTACAATGAAGAAATTTATTGACCTCTACATAGACATAGACATAGACATCACTTTATTAATCCAAATCCTTGGAAATTACATCGCTCTTTCAATAAATTAAGCAGGAAAAGTAATTCAATGCAATAAATAATAACTACCTTACATATCTACTATTAAACAGGTAAATGCCCCTCGCAATATACACACAGGTAATACTCCAAGTATTGAAATGTGCACCATAATGTTAAGATTCAATATTTCGACATTATGTCATCATCATTGATGATGACATAATGATGATGTACTGTATAATGGTGCAAGTTTCTTCTGATTAATTTTGTATTGTGAAGTTTGATTGTATTTTACATATATATTTTTACCTTCCCCAGCCTAGGGGTATTTGTTGAATAAATTGAAATTGAATTGAATTAAATAATTATTGTCAAAATATTGGTTCCCAAAACCAAGATGTCATTAAAACCGAAAGGTCCACTGATTAATCTCAGATAAGAAAGTATAATACATACTCCAAGTATTGAAATGCACGTCATCATGTTGGGATTCAAAATTTCGACATTAATTATGTCATCATCAGGAATGAAAAAATTATCCATATTAGCAAGCTTATATACCAAAAGTAGTAGGTAACATAGCAGTGATTTAAACAAAAGATCAAAGCATTCTTTCTCTACTGATCAAAGCTACCTACAAAAACAAAGAAAGCTCCTTTAAACCTTTGAGCCCATTGTTAAGTCGTTAATTTTTTCAAAATCGTTGTCTGTATATACATTCTATAATTTTTCTACCTAAATCATTTTAATTAATTTAATAAAGTGTAATATTATTTATATAGTGACTTAAAAATGATCTATGTGTCATAAAACTTTAAACAGGCCGATAACAATCGTATAAAAATACACGTTCATGAAAATAGAATCTTTGTGTATTTATACAGTTTAATATTATTTCCTGCATTGTATTCGTTTTTCGATATATTTATCAGAATTGTTGTTTCTAAATATTCTCTACTGATTATATATATACACACACACACACACACACACACACACACACACCTGTCCCACACGTTTTGGCCTTCTTGTTCACTCTTTTTGTTCACAATGTTTATTCTCAAATTGAGAGAGTGGATAGAAACATAAGAATACAGTGTACTGGTAAGTGGAAAAATATTTAATTTTTCCATCCAATTGTGATATAGGCTACTAGAATGTTAGCCATACTGTAGTTAATAATCTCTATTTTGTTTTAATATATTATTTATTAAGTTACTTATTAAGTTATTGTTTAAAATATCCTTTTCCATTCTCTTCAACATATATGGCAATAAATTAATACTGTTAAAAACATTCACCAATCTTACCTTATTGTACTATATACGTGGTTCTCATCTCCTTGGGTTATATAGTTTTTCTTATTTATTCTGGTTTATTATTAAAACATTTTGATTGGCAGCACAAACTGAATTCCATCAAAATTTACATATGTAAAACACAAATAATTAAAGTTGAAACATATGTATCGAATATTTAAAAAAAAATTTTGATATATATAATGTTATTGAAACTGGTGAATTTTTACTTTTGGAAAGAGGATTCTATTATATTGGCTATGGATTTTGTAATGCTAATATTTTTTATTGTAATATTAATTAATGTATGTTGTAAGCAATAAAGAAAAAAGAAATTATATTTACCCATTACCATAATAACATCAATCTGATAGCATAGAAGTAGCCATGCTACCAGAATGCTCTCCAGGATTGGCAAGGTTGATGAATATTTACTTGAGATGTGTTATAGTCAAGTTTTAGACAACTGATGAATGGTGTTGAATATATATAAATACAAATGTTATTTGAGAATTAATTAAAATTACACATTTACTTTTAAAACCATTTTTATTAATGCAAGTCTTAATATTTGTTGGGTAAAATTTAAATCTAATAATATCATTTTTTTTTTTATTACAGCTCTTTGTTGACATCTTTGCATAATTCACTGGACCATGGCCTCATCACAATGATGTAATGATAATGAATATTCATAGTCAGACACTTAAAACTACAAAAGTCAGGAAACTGCTGAAATGACACCACAGCAAAAGCAACTTCTTGATAGCATATATATCTTTCAGCGGGGTTGGAGGTAGCACATGGATGTCACCTCAGCGAATCTCATTTGTGCGACATCCTACCGCTTGGAATGGCTGACCGTCCAGATTTGGACCAGCATTTTGAAGTAAGTCCAGAATCAGACCAACACTTATGTTACTTGTATCACCAACTGTGTTGACAAACAATTCATAAAATCATATCCATCTATTTCATGAATTTGATTATTCCTGATTTATTATTAGAACACTTTGAATTGCATCAAAATTTACATAGATAAAACAATACAATAGAAAACAGATACCCAAACATGATTAAAACAATCAGAACAGCCCAACATCAATTAAGCTGGAATCATACCTAGTTTGCAATTATGTATCAAAAAATTATGAAAAAAAATTTAAAAATTAATAATTTAATTAAATAGCTTATTAATTGCTGCCATAAAATATGATGTAGATATTCACAATTTCATCTCGAGCACCTCTTCAAAATCATGACTCTGCAATTAGTGATCATCGCTTTTGGCTGACCACTGGATTTCACGACTTGTAAATCTATGATCTCAGAGTTCACCGGTGCATTAGTATAGATTTTTATTTGAAATTTTATTTCTTTGTGTGTGTGTGTTTAGATGGCAAAAAATTACGGATGAATTTTCTGGCTGCCTTACCTCAACTTTAGATTTTTCCTCAGACATAAAAATGGCCGACATGATATTCTCTTTGCTAGTATTGACATTTTTCTACTTTTTTAAAATAATTATTTCAAACTTATTGAAACCAATTGTGATAAAGAACTTAAACCTAGTAAATAATTAAATTAAGTAAATATATATAAATATAAAAAGCATACTAATATTTTCATTCTGCATATAATTATGTTGTGATACATGATTTAAATTGAATTATCTGTCCAAATTTAGATTTTTTTTTTCTGCAATTACATTTGTGCAGCCCTCAAAATTAGGAAAAAAGCATGTTGGCAAAAATAAAATAAAAATCACAGGCGCTATAAAATTGACGCCGGTTATAACGTCGGCAGTTTTTAGTTTCTGCTACAGCCCTGAAATCAACCCATGCTGACCTGTTATAGCGGTCACCCAATCAAGTTGGAAAGCCTAGCCTACTTACTGATGTTCAAATTTAAAACTACGTACTGATAAAATAAAATTTAAACTAACTACAAATTCAGAATGCCCAGAAAACCAAATTTCACACTAAAACCGAACTTTTTTTCAAGTCCCAAAACCATTTCTATTCTTCCGTTAATAAAATACTTTTGGAAAACCGGATTCCCCCTATTCCGAATTCCGTACATTTTATTCGGTCCGGAACATAAAAATCAACTTCTACCAACCAAACAAACAGTTAATAAACAACGATTTCAAGACAAAATAATGCAATAATCATCGCTGTCTATTAATTAACAACTAGGCCTAGCACAACACAATGTGAATGACCCGCAGTACAGCTAGCTCAGTCCCAAAAGCATTGTCATAGAGATTATCTATTAGTAGTGGCTATCTGCACTGCCGCAGTGCGAAAAAAAGCTGCTGTTTTCTATCGGCACTGCCGAGGTGCCAAAAAGCTGCCGTATTCTATCGGCACTGCCGCATTGCGAAAAAGTTGCTGTTTACTATCGGCACTGCCACAGTGCGAAAAGCTGCTGTTAATTCGTCGAATTGATGTTTTTATCGATAGATGACATTGGTATAATTCATAATTATTATTATTCATTTTATTTCACTCAAAACGTAATGAGACTGGTAGGAAAAGGGAACATGTTCCTGTACAAGATGCCTACCAGAGAAACAATGATAATGTTAATTGCAAAGACATTATAATAATAATAATAATAATAAAAATTTAAAAAAAAAAAAATTATAATAATTATAATAAAATAATACAGATAATAATAATAAATAAATAATAATAATAATACGGATAATAATAAATAAATAATAATAAAAAATCATGAAAGTGTTGTATTAATGATGTTCTAAATAATATTTGCCTTTATTATATTAATAATTGACTAGGCTAGCTTAGCCTATATTATTGTTAACATTATATTATATTTGTTTTACAATTAGTAATTAAAATAATTATTTCTAATTAAATTATTATATATATACATTATATATTATATAGGCCTAGGCATATACATAAAACAAAAAATAAACAATAATAATAATAATAATTTTACGATAGTTTGAATAATGACATAATAATAATTAGCATATTAAATAAAATTACGTCCATGCAAAACCTGTTTTTAAATAAAAACGTTATCTATTTGATTCTGTTTTAAAAAATAATCTTATAAATTATAAGTTGATTTTCTGCGATAATTTTATCCACATATGCCAATTCATGTTTTCAATGTTAATATGGCTGATAAATAATATATAAAATCATAAAAATAATAATAATTTTACGATAGTTTGATTAATGAGATAATAATAATTAGCATATTAAATAAAATTAACGTCCATGCAAAACCTGCTTTTAAATAAAAACGTTATCTATTTATCTCTAATACACGATTTGCGATGAGTGGCTGGTTTGGCTTTTTTTCCACATTTAATGTCGGTAATTGAATAAAACTAAATTAGAAATAAAACATTTTGATATTTATTGTACATTTGAAATTCCTCATCCTGAATCTAATTACTTGGTCATTTATTTTGCAGTAGAAATTCTGAAGAAACTTGGACATTGTGTCTCCTTTGCAACAAGTCAACCTGCCCTGCTAGCCAGTATTACTGTGTTGCTTCCTCTACTGAATGGTGAGTGTGATGGCAAAAGTTTGTGAATGCTTAATATTATGAATTTCATGTCCATTGTAAATTGCATGTCCATTGCAAATTGCTTTGTGGGATAAATATGTACCCAAGAAACTTTGTTTTACATATGAGTTTAATAGTCTATAAAACTGTAGTAATAATAGTAATTGTTTTCCCCTGTAAGCATTGCAATTATTTTGGTTGTCAGTATTACAGTACAACTTACATTTCCCTATTTCATAATTAAATTTTAATAAATAACTTTAAAATTAATAAATTTTTGTTTATGAAATACAATTTAACTATAATAATAACAATATAGCAATGCTTTTAATATCTTTATATAACAATTAAATAAAATGTAATAACTAATCCAACCTTATACAATTTACAACAATAATTTTCTTGTAAATTATAGACAAAATAAATAATTTTGAAAATATTAAATATTTAAAATTGCATTTATTTGAAAATATATTTAGGCTATTTGATAATAAATTAACTGTTAATCAATACAATTTGAATTTATTTAGGCTTTAAATTTTACGGTTAGGTTCAGTTGTAACCTTGCTTCATAAAAATACAGACTTCTGATACCATTTATATTATTATTAGCAGTAATTGATGTCACTGATGATCGAAGCACCTAAATAATATATGTCAAAACATTAATGTACGTCTGCACTTAATCATTAAGGCCCAAATTCAATATTTTTAGTACAGAGAAGCTGTAATACTTTAAATTGTAACTTTGGCAATAGTAAGTAAATTTCTTTATACAGTAGTGCCAATTCCAAATTGAATTACCAAAGACACCGAGCTATTGGCCTTAGTTAACACATAATGTTAATACAGTTTTTGATATGGCCTCATTTGTTTAACATCCCATAGCCAATTTTGGTGCAACCCTTTCTGTAAAAATTTGATGAAAAATGTAATGTAAATTATTGTATGCTTTTAATTGCAAAATTCTTTGTGGCTTATTTTGCAATGGACATTTCAATTGTTAACGTTCCCATTACTTCACTTTGTTACTTATGTTTTAATAATTGTTGTCAATCAAGCTTTCAATTAAATTTATTGTATTGAATGTTAGTAAATTGTAAAAAAGAATTAATAATTTTATATATTTTCCCTCTCCACTGTACTTAATATAAAATAAATATAAATATGTTAATTACGATTTGAATTTTAGTAAATTGGAAAAAAGAATTGTTGATAACTTTAAATATGTTCCCTCTACTCTGGACTTAAAAATAAATATTAAAAATATATTCCCTTTCACTGGAAAGTTACTGGTACTTTGCATACTGTTTTAATAATTGTTACTTATGTTACAATTTGAATTTTAGTAAATTGTAAAAAAGAATTAACTTTAAATCTCTCTGGACTTATAAATTGTTGTTACTTTGCATACTGTTTTAAGCTTACATTGTTACTTATGTTTTAATAATTATTTCCCTTTCCATTAGAAAGAATTGAAATAAATATTCATTGTATTTAATTTATTCCTTCTTATTTGAAATACTCATTGTATTTAATTAATTTAGTATTCCTTCTTGTTTATTCATTGTATTAATTGTAAAAAAGAATTGAAATAAATAAATATTCATTGTACTGAATTGAGTATTTCTTGTTTATTCATTGTATTCAATTGTAAAAAAGATTTGAAATAAATATTCATTGTATTTAATGAAGTATTTGAACCAGGAGCAGGATGGTAAAAAAAAAAAAGCGCCCTCGAATAAAAAAGGCCCTAAATATGACTAAGTTATTTGGCCACAAAAATCTTGGGATTCCTGGTAAAAATAGTGAAGAAAAGCGCCCTCTAATAGCCTTTTCAATCCAAAGTTTTTTGGTGTCTGTTAATTGTCAATGGCGATGAGAAGCGCCCTCTAAAAGCCAAGTTACAATTGAAAACATCGAGAAACTGGCTATTAGAGGACGCACTCTACCTTCACTATTATAGAATTAATGACAAATAAAAGACATCCAAAAACATTAAAATGAAATGGCTATTGAGGGCGCTTTTCAGCACCACAGGGAGCCCCTCTATTAAAGTCAGGCTCTGGAGGAAAACATTTTTTGATAATGTAGAGCTGTTTTTTCTGTTAGACATAAAAAAAGTTGGCGGTTATTCTACTTTTCATTCAATTTATTTGAAATTCATATAACAAATATAACTCAAGTCAAATTTATTTCCATTGTGGTCCTTCTACAACCTCTGAAAAATTGTTTTCCTCTGGAGTCGGACTTTAAACATAAATTTTAGGAGACCCTAGAAATTAGCTTTCTATTATAGTGCACTCTGCAGCACGACTTTTAATAGAAATTTAAGGGACATGGGAAAAATTAAGCCTTTTTTATTCGAGGGCGCTTTTTTCATCTTACCTGCATCCATCAGTAGTCCTCAAACTTGCATCAGTCGTCCTCAAACTTGAACAGCAAAGAAACATCAAAACAGCACTACTTGTATTTTTTATTATCTTCATAACCAAATTCATTACATACTGTAAATTATTAGGCATTATCAATTCATTATACAGAAAATTAAATGCTGTGCTAGACCTGTATTAATAAATTATAGTAGTTTTCTGGTTCCTCTTTGATTGTAATAAGACGTCAATTCATTTTTTAGTACAATATAATCAGTTTTCGAGAATGAAGTAAGTTGTCTTGATGCTGCAATAACATTACATAAATTATAAAATTGCTCTATGTTTTTTCACCAATTCATTATACAATAAATTAACAGCTCTGCCACGCATATATTAATAAATTATAATAGTTTTCTGGTTTCTTTTTGATTGTAAATTCGTGTCCTTAGTACAATATAATCAGTTTCCGAGAATGAAGCAAGTTGTCTTGATGCTGCACTAACATTTCATAAATAATACAATCGCCGCATTCACCAGAATTAGGCCATCGCAGTATTCAGCAACGTGTTCAAACTAAACATCAGTATTCTTTTCTGTCTTGCAATAGGCACCACAAATTACAGTAAATTAACTAAAGTTCAAATGCCGATATTTTGTTATCTTCTTTGCCCCTGTACTTTTCCTGTCTTGCAACTCTAATGCTGCATCTGCCAAAAATATAATTTAAAAGAATTAGACACAAACACAATATAATACAATATATACTGTAAATATAATTTCATATGAAGCTTCAGTATATACTTACAGTACTGTTAATTTTTTGATATATCTCAAAGTTACTTGTATCTTGCACAAAAATTTGTCTGTCCTGAACAAAAAAAAAAAATTACAAATGCTTTTTAGTATCAGCGTATTGAATGCTCATTACTACCATTAAAATTGTGTTATTATTTTTATTGTTATTTATCCAGTATAGAAATCAGGGGACCCACTGTCAAGTTAATGATTTGTATGTTACTGCAAAAAGAGCAAGTTACTTTTCTTTTTTTCCCCTTTTTTTTTTATCATTTTCTGGGACAATATGTCTTTAAACTTTAATCAAAACCTGGTCATCATAATTTCAAACCTCATGTTAACATATAAGCGAAAAAAAATTGTAACTGGCTCTGTCAACGCCTGCTGTTTGTCGCCAATTTTTCTAATTTCACAGAAGCAACCAAAACTTATAAGAATTAGAAAAGCATATAACCAATTGAGACTTAAAAAGTAATAGATATTGAAAATATGTGTTAACGGCATAGATATGTTTAAATAGGTTTATACTTTTGCCAAGAGATACAAGGCACTGACAACCCCTCCTCCCACTCCCTGGTGAGTATTCCTAGTCGTGCGTACAATTTAATGCCAAAACAGAGTAAGGACACGCTGTATAAAGGTATATGAAGCGCAGCTATAGAACTTAATTTTGATGGGCTTTTGATGGAAACCAGTGGCTTTATTGATGTCTAAATATGAAATTATTTCCAGAACTTCATCAGAGGTAATCGGTTCAAGTAAATAAGGATTTTTATAAAAAGGTTCACCCAAAATCGAAAAACACACGACACAAACTAACTGGTATGGTTAGGCATAATGGGCATTTTGTAAACTTTCAAGTTACAAATATTTTATTACAATACCAGTACTTGCCTTTAGTAGTCTTGTTGATATACATCATGGAAATACCTATGAACACATCAAATTATTGAGGTTTCTGCTGGAATACTGCCTATTTACTATATCTGCCGTTATTTCACGTTGTCACTCTTGCATTGCAATGTCTACACAGGTGGTGCTTCCTGAATATTAAGTGAAAATGGCTGCAAGAAGGCTGAAGCATGTACTATCCATTTACTATAAAAATTAAGAAAATATTAGAATACAGCCTATTGACTGACCGTTATTTCACGTGGTCACTCTTGCATTGTAATAAGAAGCCCATGGGCTTCTTTTCAAGGCTAATTTTGCAAACTAAATAGTTGGCTTCAATTCAAAATGGACTTCATCTCGAGATTAAGCCCATTGGGCTTCAATTCAAATCTATTGATTGATATTTTGAAAGTAATCGCTAATAGAATGGGGTGTTCTGTTAATTGTTTTGGTTTGAGTATTAATGTATTTTTAATAATAATAATTCATGGCTGTACTCACTATCTAGTATTGTTTTGTCGATGACAGATACAAGATCAAAGACTGTACCTTGAAACGTGTGGAGTTGAGCGTGCTTCTGTTGAACTGCATTGATAAGAACTGGCGGATATGAAGCAAAACAATAAATATAAGTGAGGAAAAAATATTATAAGTGCAAACAAGAAACCTTTATGGACGAATGGAATCAAAAATAGGTAATAAAGGACGATTTATTAGGGAAAAAAAATTACAAAATTAACTAATGAAAACTAGAAAGAGCCATGAGGACTAAACACAGTACTTTAAAATAAGAAATACATAATGAGCTTAGAAGCAGGAAAAGTATTTTTTTAAAAATGAGGAAAAGAAGCAACATTTCTGGACGCAGGGTTCCCGAAAATCAGGGTCAAAAGTGGAACGTGAAATTTGGATGGTTTCGTAGTCAGATTTGCAAGAAAAACTTCAGCTACCCGTATTTCTCGACTGAGACGTCAGTGGGAGCTGTAATTTGTATGGCAAGGAGATTGTGCAACCCTTAATTCGTATTAAGGGAATTTACGCCCAGAAACCTTGTAGTTATTTATATTTTCGTTATAATAGAAAATATTCATTTTTTGGTGACGTCACAATGTAGTTAGCATGCATACGTCATAAGCTAGGTTACGTCACCTTTTCCTGGTAAGGCAAACTATCCCGCATGCTTTTTTCATGGATAAACAAACAGCACTGCTTTGCACATGGATGCCTTGTCCTAGCTAGGGATACAAGAGCCGCATTGTTAGCATTGTATAATATTGTATGCACAAGGTACCTCTGCAAAATGAATTATTCTTAGTTATTTGTTTTTTTAAAAATTTTATTTTAATTTATTTCTTTTGAAAGTGTACTTTCTATCACATATTATTGCACTGTCTAGTTCTAGGCCTAGCCCTAGTCTCGTATGCCTCATCGTCATCCGATATACACTGTACATCAGTAGCGCCCCCCCCCCCCCCAGCCTCCATACAGTACAGATGTTTGCTGGGCAACAACTTGATTGAACTTTCCTTCCCATGAGTTCATGTATTGGCATATTGTTAGCTAACCAGTTGTGTGTATTTCTTTGTGAAAATGAGTACCGCGGCGTACTCATTTTCACAAAGCATTTGCATCCCCTCTTGGAAAGAGGGAACTTCAAAATAATTGTCTCCATATCTTCGCTAATTAAATTAATCACCGTAATTTAGTTTACACTTATGAACTTAGATAGCGCTTAAAATGTATAATAATAATTTCACTACCCGACAACTCCGAACTTTATTCATTTGGCCTACATAATAGTTTCATCTTGCTGTATATATACTCCAACATCACTGGCGCATGGTAACAGCCAACTGATGCAGACCGTTTCCTGTCACACATTACTCTCCATAACACAGCACCCCCTAGTTCCGTCACCTCTGGGTTCTGCTAACTAAAATTCATGAAAATGTGTTATTTAATGTGGCCCCAGATAAAAATTAATTATATAATAACAATACAACTGTTGAAATTGCCCAGCTCTGTCCGTGAACATTTAGACCCACCATGCACGCACGCACACACACGCACTACAAAGAAACTAACTCGTATTCTTAGGCTAACCGGCATTTCATAAACTTTCAAGTTAAAAATATTTCATTATAATAGTATTTGTAGTTTTGTTGATATATACATCACGAACATACCTATCGTTTCTGCTAGAATACTGCCTGTTGACTATATCCGCCGTCACTCTGGCGTGGTAATGTCTACACAAGTGGCGTGTCAAGAATATTAGGTGAAAATGGCTGCAAGAACTCTGAAGCACATACTATCCATGTACTATAAAAAATATGAAAGTATTTATTTGTGTAACATGCTTTTGCAAATTAATTTCCATTAGCGCGTATAAGTATATAAAAATGCATACTAATCGCATCAAAAATCCTTTTCGAAACAAGCCAGTGTTCGTCCGTCCAAGTCTGTTTCCACCATGCCATGCACACCTACAAAGAAGCTTCACTTATTATTGGTAATGGAACATCTCAAAAAAATAAAGGTTACAATTGCTTTACTTTAACACATATACAATACTTGGCTTACCTTAGAGGTATTTTTGCCTGTTTAAAACCAGGTTTAAAAATGGGTTGTTGGATCTGGTACCATGAATGATCAACAGTTAAAATGTAATCATTCAAATTTTGGAGAGTTCGGTTATGATAAATATTAGAAATAAATTTGAGAACATGTAATCTATGTAACTTTAAAGTATCTAAAATTTTAAGTTCATAAAACAAAGGGGATGAATGTGCATCACTGAAGGGTTTTTTTTTTGGAACAAATTATTGTAATCTAAATAACATTCCAGTTTGTTTCCTAATTTTTGTTATTATTTCTTAAATTTGGAGTGTCCAAGGCAGAAACTTATCAGATTTAGTGCGAACAAAATTAACAAAATTAACGGAAGAACTTTAATTAATAATAGTAATGTTATATTTATATAGCGCATATTGCACATTGCCCCATGCGCTTTACAAAGAAATAATATAGGCCAAACAGAGAAAATGCAAATAACAATAGAATAATAATAAAATAAAATAAAAATAATAGTCATAATAATAATAACAACAATGAGATTAAACTACTCCTATTCCTTAAACTAATTATTGGTTGGCCGTTGACTACGAGGAGCTCATCTGCCCTTTGTTCAGCTATTGGTTTTTCTTGCTGCTGGGTGACCATAAACACCCTTCCCTTAGCGGCCACTAAGACACATCTGAGAGGGTTTTCAGTTTAGTCGCCGACGCTTTGACCGGATGGAGCTTAATGTTGTACCCAGGACGTCCCTAACTACCTTAAGCAAGGCTTAACTACTCTTAAATACAGTATATTACTCTTAACTACAATTGGTTAAACTTAACTACAATTGGTCAAGAATCTCATATATTTTTGGATTTCAGTATTAACTGTCAATTTGTTTGAATTGCACCAGCCAACAACATTTTAAAATTGAGTGTTAATCAACGACAAATTAATAAAAATAAAATGAAATTTGTCACAAGCATACAAACAAAATTCGAAAAAATAATTGGTAGAGTTTGGAAGATCATTGATAAAAATTAAAAACAAAATGGTGTCAGAGACCGAGCTTTAAGGCACACAGCAAGTAATAGGTAAATCATCAAAAGTAAAAGAACAAGATGAAACAAAATGGTTTTCGATTACGGAGATAGCATTTCTTCTGACACCATAATGAAATAATTTAGAAAGTAAAATTTCATGATGAATGTGTCAAATGCTTTACGAAAATCAATAAATATACCAATAGAGGACATTTCATGATCTCAATTAGATTTAAGCCTATTAAATATATTAATAAATAATCACAGTAGTTTTTGTTTACAACCATATTGACAACGATTATAAAACAAGTTTTTGACAAGTAATTAACCAAATGCTAATTAATTATTAATTATTTAATTAATCAAATGCTGTAGAAAACATCTGCAAGTTAAATGAAAGATTGAAATGTGTTAACAGCATAGATATTAGTTAGTGTTTTATTTCTTAATGAAACCAATTTTTAGTTTTAATTAGCGTAATGTAATTCTGTGTACTTAATTTCATTTTTGTTGTAACTTTTGTACCTTACATACAATAGATCTTTTCATAACTTGTAGTAAGTTAATTAAGTTTTGTTATTAATGAATTTACTTTGTATTTTTTTTCTTTGTTATATTAATTTGTATTATGCTATGTTAAGTGAAAACATTTTTGTGATTCAAGTTTTTCCGTTTGAAAATGAAGTTGTTGTTATTATTATTATATAAAGGTTTATAGTTTTGCCAACCTATCACATATACATTTGATTGTGGGTGAACCTGGTTAAAAATCCTTTTGTTTTTTCTTAAACCAATTACCTCTGATGAAGTTTTGGAAATATTTCATATTGAGAATCGGATCCATAATCAAATCAACACAAGTGCAACCTCCTCCCACTCCCTGGGAAGTATTCCTAGTCGTGTGCGAAAATTTAATACAGACTAATATCTGCAATGCCACATCATCCTACCAAGTACCCCTGGGTGCAAACGCCTTGCTTAAGGACACAAGCTATATAAGGTATATGAGGCGCAGCTATAGAAATTTTATTTTGATGGAAGGAATGTAATCGAAACCAGTGGCTTTATTGATGTCGAAATATGAAATTATTTCCAGTACTTCATCAGAGGTAATCGATTCAAGAAAAAAAAAAGGATTTTTAGCAAGGTTCACTTAAAAATCGAAGAATAAGATTAATATTTTTTGTTAAATTAATCAATTTTAGTAAGTTATTTATTCAATTCATTAACAATAGATGATGTATTAGTAAAATCATATGTACAGAAGTAGAACAGATATTTTCTCAGGTAAATTGTTTGTAGTACGTTTACCTCCCAGTAATCAATTGCCTGCCAGGACTTGTTTTGGAAAATAGATCATGATAATTAGTTCAACTTCATTGTCAACAAATATATTTATAACAACATAATTGAAAAAGGGTGATAAGGTATAGTTAAATAAAAATAATCTAAGCTTAGCACCTTCTTGATCAAAAATACAAACCGATTATTTTGGATTTACAATAAGTTGATTCAATTAATTATGACGAACAACAATGGAAGCAGGAGATAAAAAAGTAACAAATATTATAGTTTTTAAAAAAAATTATAAAATTGAAAATTATGTATATGTGAAGTAATTGAATTAAGTAAATGAATCTCAAACATATTTAATAAATTTTCTTTAACTGCTGCTATAAAGTGATTTCTGCATGTAATATTTCTAGAAACAAAGTCACTGAAATAAATAGGGGCGGAAAAACAAAAAAAACTTAAAAAGTTTATTTTTTTAACTTTTTTCTTTACAAATAAAAAGAAATGTGAGTGAATTTATCTTTATTTTTTGCCAGTTGTCCTACAAATTAGTCTAAAGTTTCTGTCAGATGTAGGATAATGCCATTCTAGGCCTCTGTGGGTTATTTTTTATTCCATCTTTGCATGGGTTTCTTTTCAAGGCTACATTTGCAAAGTTAAGAGGGAAGTGGGTGGGGGGATTTTTTTAAAATGAATGCTGTAAATTTTGTGAATTTGTACTAGAAATAAATAAATAAGGCCACTGTAACATCAATCTGTATTATGTAGTGTATTTAACCGGCATTAAATCACCTAAACCACTGTATAAACCAAGCTTGTTTTTAACTTATATTGTTTTTTGAAATTCATGTACAGTGTATGTACTGTTACTATCTTGAAAAGAAGCCCATAGTCTTTTCGAGGGTAATTTTGCAAACTAAAGAGGGGGCTTCAATTCGAGGTGGGCTTTATCTCGAGATTAAGCCCGTTGGCCTTCAATTTGAGGTTTTACGGTATAGAAAACAAGAAACAATAATGGAGGAATGGAATCAACAAGTGGAGGATTCATTAGAAAAAAAATTACAAAACAAACTGATGAAAACTAGAAAGTTACACAGCAACAGAATAAATTATATTGAGACCAAAATAAAATTATGAGAAAACAGAGCTGTGAGGACTAAACACAACACTATAAAATAAGAAAACAAAGGATAAGCTTAGAAGCAGGAAAAGTATTAAAAAATCCATAAAGGTTTTACTTTCATCTGAAATGTATGCAAGGTCCACATTATTCAGAAGATTGTTATTAGATTCATAAAATATTATTATGCTTTCAGCTACCATTATTAATGTTATTACAGTACAGTATTGTCAGTTTAAGTGACGGTCGTGAGTAACGACTTATTCAATACTTTATTGGATGATACAAAGTAAAATATAAAAACCTTTGACCATAAGGTGCACTGACTATGTTCAAATAAAATAAAACAAAAGTGAGGCCATATTTACTCAACGTTTCGACTTTTAAAGTCATCATCAGGAATAAAAATATTTACAGAGTAATTACCAAAAATGCTACAATATGCAAATACAATTAATGAGCCATAAGATGATAATAAGCAGCAAATGTGATTGGTCCAGATGTAAAGGGTGTAGTCATAATTAAATAAACAGTTTTAATTCTCTAGAAGCTCTGAGACCACAATTAAGTGAAGGCTTATGCCGGTGAATAGCAAGCGCTTCTTTAAATAACAAGTGGGACCAATTAGAAGAATTATCAATTATTTTAGTATTAGAATAAATTAAAGATTTAAAGTTGGTCATAGAGATGTCATCAAGTGTGTTGGGTAAATTATGGAGTCCTAATATGTAATTAAAATTATCACAGGTTTGAACATGATTATGAACTACACTGTTAGATAAAGTAGCATGTTCGTGGATTCTGGTAATAAGACATCTATCAGTTTTACCAATGTAGTCAAGGTTACATCCAGGACATTTAAAATGGTACACTACAGAACTTCTATACTTATTGGGAGTCATATCTTTAGTCGAAGTGAAGTAAGAAATTTTCTTGATCTTCCATAAAGTAATAAATTTCACATCCTTTGTTAGATTCCTTTTAACTTTACTCAACATTCTGCAGAGAAGAATTTCTCCGTGTCTACCAATATACGGTACATGTACCCATATTTTGTCTATAGTGTCAACATTATCTACATTCGGCCTATGTAAGTCATTGAAATATTTATACAACAAAAAAAACCTTATAAAAACCTTTGAATTTGGAGAAATGTCTCAAATTCATTTGGTAATAATAATTTTAAAAAAAAGTTTTAAAAAAAATAATAAAATTTATTAAAATCAAGATATTGTATACCGGGTTCACAAAATTGGACGGTATTCTAATTTACTGTCTGCAATGAGGTTTCTTCGAAGATACGTCTTATCTAACGAATGAGCACAATGGGGTGAAGGATTTGAATTAGAAGAAAAATATCTTCACTTCAGTAAAAGAAAAAAAGAAAAAGAAAAAGAAAATTAAAAAAAAAATTATAAAAAAAAATTTTTTTAATAAAAATAAAAAATAAAATATTAAAATTTATAAAAAACATGGTATTGTACACTGGAAGTACTGTATAAAATTTGATGGTATTGCAATTGACTATTATAATGAGAGTCTATTCGAGGATACAGCGTATCTTATGAATGAATAAAATACAATGTTGTATGAAGGTCTTGACATAGAAGAATGATGTCTTAACTAATAATATATATAAGTCTATATATAAATAAATAAAATAAAAAAATGATTAATAAAAATATATTTTTTTTTTAATGCTAAATAGTCTATTCATGATTCATTGAATTGTATTAGGTATACTTTACAAAATATACAAGGCTGATTGAACGTAAAGGACTGCCACATTTTTCGCTTTTAGATACTTGTGCACCAGGAATATTGTTGAAAAGGATGGATTTGTGTTTAGGATAGTGGCAGATATAACCTTTAGCCGTTTATTAAGAAAAAGTAAAGGAAAGTATAAGAAAATGTGTTTACCCACTGAATTATTCGAAATGAATGTTAAAAAATTTATTATTCAGCCGCTTTGGACTGACCCCATTTTATTTTATTTCCAGTTGCATGCGCACCATGTGTGTTTTTAAATATTCTTATGTATATTAATCTTATATAAACCTAATATGTTTTAACATCGAAAAAATGTATTTTATTGGAAATAAAAGTGGGTGAAATGCCTACAAAAAAGAAAAAAAAGTATAAAAAATGAGAAAAAATTTAGGTCTAATATACAAATATGAGGGAGAGAAAACAGGAAAATAAAATAAGATATGGAGGATAAAAATGAAGACCAGAAACAACCTTTTCTGTGTTCTGTTAACTAATGGTAATGTGGCCCTGGAAGAAAATTAATTGAGAAGCAGCCCTATATAAATTGCCCACCTTTGTCTCAGATTTAGACCCCACCCACACACACATTAAAAAGGAAACTATCTCGTACTGTTAGGCGTAATGGGCATTTCATAAACTTTCAAGTTACAAATATTTTATTATAATACTTGCCTTATAGTAGTTTTGTTGATATATACATCACGGAAATTCCTATAAACACATTAAATTATCGAGGTTTCTACTAGAATACAACCTATTGACTATATCCGCCGTTTATTTCACGTGGTCACTCTGGCATTGCAATGAATATTAGGCCAAAATGGCCGCAAGAACACTGAAGCACGTACTATCTATGTACTACAACAAATAAGAAAATATTTATTTGCGTTTGCGTTTGCAAATTGCTTTCCGTTAGTTTCCGTTATATACAAGTATATAAAAATGCATACAGTACTAATCACATCAACAATCCTTTTTTCGAAACAATTCAGCGTTCGTCCGTCCTAATCTGTTTCCACCATGCCATGCACACCTACAAAGAAGGTAACTCGTTTTGTTTGGCAATGAAACATCTAAAAAAAAATACAAGTTACAATTGCTTTGCTTTAACAAATACAATACAGGCCTACCTTAGTGGTTTTGTTGATACGTATCACAAGTTTACAATATAATCATAAAACAATGCCGTCTTTTTGCTAAAGTAAACTTCTTCACCATATCCATCGTCAACTCACGTCACGCGGTTCTCTGGAATTTCAAAATTTGCGGTCTGCTACACAGGTGGGTTCGTCCAGGATATTAGGTGAAAATGGCCACAAGAACACTTAGTTTAAAATACATAATATTTTCCAAGGGTTAAATAGTGATTATATTTGCCTTTTCGTTGGCGTGTAAAAATATACACAAATGCATACGAAACACTTTGAAATTATATAAAAAAACATATGAAAGAAAGATATTGATTAGGAATATTTACGCCTGGTTAGAACACAGAAAACAACACAACAACGGAAAGGAAGAAAAAGAATTGAAGTAGAAACATTATCTGGTTCAGACTCCCCTTCACACACACAGTAAAAATGTAAAAACCAACGTACTTTCATCAAACTCATCAACAAGTATTGCCCACAAGGACACAAATTCAACAAAATACAACGAAAAACACGTAAAAATCAGCTATAGCTGCATGAAAAACATGAATTCAACCATCAAGGAGCATAACTCACACATCATCAAAAAAGAAAACGAAACGACTCCGGAAAGAAGATGTAACTGCAAAAACAAAGAGAAATGTCCCCTACGAGGAGAATGCCTCACCAACACCCTCATATACAGCACAAGCATTTCATCCAATGAGGGAGAAAAAAAAATACATACCTAGGGCTGTAAGGCGGGGATTTCAAACAAGGATACAACAACCATATAAAATTATGAAGACATGAACGATACGAAAAGGAAACAGAACTATCAAAGGAGTGTACCTATAGAATTGTAATGGTAATGGTAATAGTTATAATGGTTTTTAGTATTATTGATGAGCTGCTGACAGTTTGCATAGGTCCCACCCAGTATGATGCGGCTTTCGTATATTCTATTGTTTTATCTCATTATTGCCGCTTGCCTTTGTTCATTTATTTATGCAATGTTATTGTATAGGCTTACAGATTGTATTACCATGTCACCGCTTTCTATTGTTTCCATTATATTTATATATATTTCCATTATATTTATATATATTTCCATTATATTTATATATTGTTTCCATTATATTTATATATATGTATCATGATGCCACTATCTACCGTCACTATACGTTGAGAAAGGTCGCAGGTGCGACCGAAATATTCGTGATTAATAAAAGTTATATGTTTCGTTATACGTTAACTCGGTTCTTCAGTTGTTTACTTATGCTGTTCAACTATATAATCCGGAACATACGTGCACCTATCACATTGATGCCTCTCTCTCTCTCTCTCTCTCTCTCTCTCTCTCTATATATA